TGCAAAGTAAAAAAAAAAGTATTGCGATTAATCACATTTTTTTTAGATTAATCTTGATTAATCACATTTGTATGTACAAAATTAAATTATGATTCAAAGACGTTTAAAGCATGTCAAAGGTATTGTCTTATATTAAAAAGTTTCAATACATTTTCAAAAAAGGCACTTTTTAACAGCAGTGTTCATTAGCAATTAAAGCACTTGTGGTAACATAAACATGAACAACATCATCTCAAACAGGGAACCAAAGCTATTTGCCAGGGCAATCGTGGTTTTAGTTTATTTTAGAAAAAAAAAAAAAAAAGATACCTTCATGCCCAAAATCACATAACAGATTAAATGTAAATTCAAAAATATGCTTATTGTTTCTGAAACATTTCAAGAAGAAACATTTTTAAACCAGGAAGCATCATGAACAGTTTATGTCCTGATGCATCCTCAATAATCCAGGTAGAAAACTCTAAAAAGTCAGGTTTTCTGGATGGATTCTTTGTTGAAACATTTTGTCTTTAATCCAAAACACTTCTTGAGTCTGAGACCCTGCAAAAAACCTACTCCCACATGCTGCATTCAGCCTCGTCTGCAGAGGCCACTCTGCACTGCTTGTTATGGTGGATGTTTGGCTGGCATTGACGGTGTGTTTTGAATTGAAGTGATATTTCAGGCTCAAAATACTCTTGTGATTAGAAAGTTCAGCGTTGCATTTGTTACAGATAACTTTACTTCTATCCAGCCTGCCATCGGGAAAAAGTTTTAAAATAATAATGCCCATGTAAAAGTCTGGTGAGCAGCACGGTGGCGCAACTGGTAGAGCTGCTGCCTCTCAGCGAGCAGGTCCTTGGTTCAATCCCCGGTCCAGGGGCCTTCTGGGTGGAGTTTGCATGTTCTCTCCGTGCATGCGTGGGTTTTCTCCGGGTACTCTGGTTTCCTCCCACAGACCAAAAACATGCATGTTAGACTGATTGGTAACTCTTAATTGTCCCTAGGTGTGAGTGAGAGAGTGAATGGTTGTTTGTCTTGTTTGTCTCTATGTGGCCCTGTGATGGACTTGCGACCCGTCCAGGGTGTACCCCGCCCCTCGCACAGTGATTGCTGGACATGGGCACCAGCGACCCCCATGACCCAAAATGGAATAAGCAGGTAAAGATAATGGATGGATGGATGGATACAAGTCTGGTCCTTTCTCCATGTTTCTGACCTCACTGCTCAGTTTCTGATAGTGTTCACGTGAGCGCTGTGCAGCAACAGCCCTACAAAACAAAGGCTCTCATTGGTTGAGACACGTGATGATGGTCATCAATTTCCAGAAGTGATCATCATCCTGCTTCCTGTGACCAATGTATGTGTCTGTGTGTGTATCATAGCCACTGAGCAACGAACTTAAAATTTAAGAAAAATCTGTGAGGGTTCAAATAAATTGTCGCCGTTAATCACCGTCTGCATTAACGCAATAATACTGCATTAATGTGCCCAGCACTTATATATACAGTATATATATTAGGGGTGTAACGGTATGCTAAAATCACATTTCGGTTCGGTGCAGTTTCAAGGAGGGCTCAGTTTGGTTAATTTTCTGTACAAAAAGGCCAAAAATAAAGACTTACAAAATATTTATTCTGAAAAGATGCCATGTAAACAATACAACATTTGTATAAAAATAAATAAAAGCGACCCATGTGGATGACATTTTTAACAATACGTTTGTATAAAATAAATAAAAGCTACCCATTTGGGTGATATCCTGATGCATGCTCAATAATCCAGGTAAAAAAATCTAAAAAAGTTAAATCTGGTTCTCTGGACATTCAAAAAACAAAACAAAGCAAAACAACAGTAACGGAGTCAACCCCAAAGTTCCCCAACTCAGCTTCCTCAATGGATGACATGCTGGTGGGATTGAGAAGGTCTGAAAAGTATTCCTTCCACTTCCCGACGACATCAATGGTTGAGGTCAACAGCACCCCACCTTCACTGAACACAGTATTAGTAAAGTGCTGCTTTCCCCTCCTCATCCACCTGATGGTTTGCCAGATTCTCCCCGGAGCTGACCAAGAGTCTCTATCCAGGGTCTCACTGAACTCCTCTCACATCCGAGCTTTTGC